GGGAGAGAGAGGGAGAGAAAGGGGAATAAGATTAGATCAAGTTTTGAAATAGGCATTTTTTAATAATAGTCAAGACTTGACATTTCTTTTTTTTCACACAGCTTGCAATAGAGGGGAATATCAACATGAGAGGATATAATAGTGCGGGGGTGTGCTTGAGTTGCGTGGGAGTGTATAAAAGCACAAAAATTATGTGACAAGTGATATGAATGATGTACAAATATGCGTGGGTGTGCATGAATGTGCGTGGGCGTATATGGATAAAAAGGTATGTGACGTGATATATAAGACATATCGTGTATGTATGTATGTGTGGGTGTGTGTGTGGGTGTGTTTGTGTGTGTGTAGGTGTGCGTAGTATATGTATATCATTTTGAAAGAATTTTGAAATGTGTTAGATGAATGTATTTGATCATTTCACGATGTTTCAGTGTAATAATATAGTCTGATCGGATTGTTAATGATAGGTTCGTTATCTCTCGAAAGCTTATTCACTCAGAGATTTGCATAAAAATAGATGATTGTCTTTCTCTCCCTCTCTCTCTCTCTCTCTCTCTTCTTGTCTCTTCCCTTTAAATAACTTTACATTTTACTTGCAGATGGATGGACGAAAGGATAGAATCGTTGTAAATGTTTACAGATATCTTCACTTTACTTCTTCATCTGATCACTAAACTATCCATCACATCATTTTGCACATGGCACTAAATTAGTTATCTTTGAGGAATTTAGTTAGTTTAATTTCTCAATGTCTATCCCATTCAGTTGCTAATTTTTTCTTCTCAAACTATTATAATTCTTTATTTTATTCTTTAAATTTTTAATCTATCTAAGTTAATTGTACCATTTAACCAATTAGCGCTTTTTCCTTTTTTTCTTTTTTTTTGATTTTAAATTAGTTAAAATTTTAATAAGCTTAATTATTTGCACAAAAATTTCCTATCAAATAACTTGGATTTTTTTTTTCAGAGTAATTTGAATCTTTCAATTGTATTATTTAAATCATCTGTTAATTAGCATTCTATTAATTTGAATAACTTTACATTTAAAGGACAAAAAGGGGACCAAAATGAGAGTGATATTTTATTGATTTTTTAAAAATTGTAATTAAGAAAAAAACACAATTTGTTTTGGTATACTGATAATGATTTTGATAAGAGAGATTTTGACGATAAATTTTGTAAAATTTGCTTTTGGATTTTCAATCCTTTCTTAGGTATTACAGTTCAAATTGTTTAAATTAATCATTTGTCAGTGATAAAAATTTCAAACAATTAATGAAAGAATTTCAGAAATTCTCATCGATTTCAATAAGTATGGTTGAAAAGATGATAGAATTGTAAGTTTGTTGAAAAAAAAAAAGAAAAGAAATTGACCATTAATGATCGAAATATATTTTCATCTATTTTAAACAATTTTTATTTTTCTTTCTTCTTTTTCATTTCATTTCTAAGGAAAAAAAAGGATTAATTATTAGATCAATTTTTTTTGGAAAATTAAATTAAAATTAAAATTTAACATTCATTCATTAATTTTGCAGACCTAATGAAAATGAAGAAGAAGAAGAAGAGGAAGAAGATGTCGAAGAAGTAGAGGTTGAAGATGAGGAAAATGATGATGATGATGATGATGATAACGATAATGATGATAATGATGATGATGATGATGATGAAAGTGAAGAAATGGAAGATGGAAGTGAAAATGAGCAGCATGAAGGTTTCAACAATGTTGACAATGAAATGTAAGAAATTTCGTCCAATAGAATTTTTAATTCAAATTTTATAATTTGGACAGCATAGATTGGTTTTATATTATTTTCTCAAATTATGTTTTTCACCATTTAATCCATTCCTTTCCAAAATACACTTTGCTTAATTATTTATTATGCTGTAATTACACGTTTTGCATAATTAATTATTTTTTCTCAGTTAGTTATTAAATTGAATATTAGAAAGTTTCATTTAAATTTATGGTAATTAACAAGCATATAAGATGAATCGTAACGGATGAATAAATAAATATTGAAATTATTGCTAATTTTAATAAATCATTTAATAAAATATATTTGTTAAAAAGTATGTCATCAATAATAAATGAAAACAATTAGTTTTTTTTTCTTTTTATTTATTAATTATTATTCTCGAAATGCAATCATTTGTAAGAATTCTATTACGAAATCCAACTTCGCACTATACAAAAACTTAATTACTGAATGGTGTGAAATTATTGTTGATTATGTCAACCTAATTATTATTAAAGGATAAAAGTTGACAAGGAATGTGAAGGAATGACAGAAGCAACGAAAGCAGTTCTTGTAAGTATAATATGAATTTATAAATTTATTTCTGATTTTTTTTAAAATAATTCAATTTTTTTTTTTTTGATATCATAATGTAACGTGTATTACGGTATTAACAAATTTTCATAATTTAAGAAAAAAAATTTAGACAGCAAAGAAACGTCAAGAAGAGGAATATCGTTTACAATATGAAGCACGTCGAAAAGAGGAACGTGAACGAGTGGAACAAGAATTAAGAAGTTTACGTGAAAAACAAGAGAGACGTCGACGTGAACGTGAACAAGAAGAAAAAGAATTAGCCGAGAAAATACGCTTAGCTGAGGAAAAACATCGTCAAGAAGAAGTAAATTTTATTTTCGAAATAAGAAAAAATTATTATCATTTGATATTAATTCTTCAGTCGTACGATAATTAATATCTGAGAGTTTTTCCACCGTACGATGATGAATATCTGAGAGTTTTTCCACCGTACGATTATGAATATCTGAGAGTTTTTCCACTGTACGATGATGAATATTTGAGAGTTTTTCCACCGCACGATGATGAATATCCGAGGGTTTTCTACCATACGATGATAAATATCCAAGTTCTTTTCTTTTCAATTTCGATGGAATCATAAGACATAAGAAGGGCATTCCATATTTTAATTACAATTTTCTGTTTTTATTTCTCTTCAAATTACAATTAGTCAGAATCCTCTTACAATCATTATATTATTGTATTATGAAAATTAATTTAAATTGTCTTTATTTGAATTTTTTTTTTTAATTTTTTGAAACTTTTTTTTTAAAATTTTGAAACTTTTTTGAAAAATTTTTTTCAGTGCAACTTTTTTTTAACTAATCTTCATCCTCTTTATTGTTTATTTTATTTTTTTCTATTTGTTGGAAAAAAATGGAGAGATAAAATTTAATTTTCAAATAAAATTTAAAAATTTTTTTTCAGGAAGAAAGTAAAGCTCGAATAGAAGCACAAAAACGGAAACGTGAAGAAGAGCGGTGTAAAAAACAAGCAATGCTTGCCGGTTCATTAGCTGGTATTGTTTCATCCGGTAATAATGGTAATCCTAATTTTATCATTCAAAAATCGGAAAAATCAGAACGATATGTAAGTTTAACATATGGATGGTTTATTTTAAATGAAAAAATTAAAATTAATAAAAACTTTAATTTAAAATTAAATTTTTTGAAAGCTAAAATGAAATGTTTTGAAGTTAAGATTTTGAAATTTTGAAGTTAAAATTTTAACTTTTGATGTCAAAATTAAATTTTTCGGATGCATTTAAAAACAAATGAAAGCATAGTTATTTTAAAATGAATAATCCTTTTAATTAATCATTCTAATTTTGATTTTGAAAAATTTGAACCGTTTTTACTTTTGCTTCTCATTTATTTTTTTAATTCTTTTTTTTCCTTTTTTTGGATTAATTTGTTTCTTTTTAATTTTATTTTTAGAAAAATGATAAAGGAAGAGAAGAGAAGCAAGAAGCTAAACGTGCTTATATGGCAACAGTAAATCAGAAACCGGATATTTCCCATTTATTGATTAATGATTTAAAAATTGAAATTTGTCAATTACATTCACGTATTTGCAAATTGGAAGCACTCAAGTATGATCTTGAAAAACGACATGAACGACAACTTTATGATGTAAATATTATACTTGTAATTTCTGGATTTCTAAATATTTAAAAATTAACAATTTAAAAATTACATTTACTTATTTGCAAATTACAATCATTCAAATGCGATCTTGAAAAAGAAAAAAATGATATGAATGATAATTTTAGTTGCATAAGCATTGCAATCATAATTTCCGGACAAGTTTCTATGCTTATATATACATTGAATCAATGTTAAATTCCAGTTGAAAGAATTACATGAACGTGAAAAACAAGTAGCACGACATCGTGCACTTCAACGAGGACTTGATCCTAATGAAGCAGCAGCATCACCACATCCTGTATTTTCTTAATTTTTATATAATTCATTTCTCTCTCCTTTTTTTTAAAAAAAAAATTTATATAATATTTCACTTTAATAATATATTTAATAATATTTATTTTTTTTCTACAACTTTTAGTGTTGATATACGTTTGACCTTTCATTTTTGACCTTTTACATTGTTGAATTTTTGATAAATTACTGTTCTTCAAAGGATTTTTTTTGATAAAAGATGAAATTTACATATGATTGATGAAAAAATTTATATAAAAATACAAATGTGTAAAAATTTCTGTTAAATATAAAAATTTAAAAGCATATAAAAATTTCTGTTGTTAAAATTTGTTTCAATTTGCAAAATTTTATTTTAATAAATTAGGTCTTTTCTTTCATTCATTTCTTTTTTTTTTTAATTTCTAATTCGTGTTATATCATTGATATATTTTGCTAGTGAATTTGCCTAAATTTTAGCCAAAGATTAATGTCGCATCAAAATTTGATCGTCAATTCGATCGGCGATCATACGGTGATCGTCGAATAATATTCGAAAAAGTAACTTTTCCCAATCAATTCAAACAATATTTCTTTAAAATAAAACGAAATAAGACTAATTAAAGTTTAAAATCCAATATACCAAATTTCTGAATTTTAACAAATTTGTTATTTTCTGCCAATTTTTGAAATTTTTACTTAATTTCTTTGATATATTTACAAAATTATTATACCAATGATATGCTATTTACTAATGATACTATTCTTTATCATACATATGTACGAGTATTTCATTTAAAATTTGTTTAAAAAATTTATCATCAAATGTTTTAATCGAATCATTTTACTAATTATCACAATTAAGAATATTTCTTTTTCATTGTTTTTTTTTCAAACTTTAAATAAATTAGTTAACTCTTCAGTCTTACGATTATTTCGCTTAATTTTAGCCACCCGTTGAAAAACCACCATCGATTGTACATGGTACCGCACGACCACCACCAGAATGGGGACGTACAGAAAATGAAGAATTGGAACAACTTCGAAAAATTATCGAACCACGCAAATATGTGGAAGAAATAAAAGTGACAAATGTTCGACCACCCATTGAACCCATTCCATTATCATTACCACAAATGGATTGATTGAAATGAATAAATTTCATCTTTTAAGAAATATTTTATTCATCTAAAATTAATAAATATTTCTTTCAATCATTTTTTTAAGTATTAAAACAAAAATTCCAAAATTTATTAAAAATTCCAATTATTTCAATAATTAATTTCTAACAAATTAAATCACATTTAACAATTGTTTAAATTCATTTTTTCGACAATTTATTTGCTTTTGTTTCTTCTCTAATTACAGAAAAATTTGCTTGTATTTTGCATTTAATTTCCAATTTTAATTATTTTCCATTAGCCATACAAACAAATCCATGAAACTATTCATTTTTGCTTGGAATTAATGTAATTATTGATGTTAAATTAAATAATATTTTCACAACGCTTGTGATTTTTAATTTAAAATTTAAATTTTTCTAAAACAATAAGCAGTTTTACGGTACACTTTTTTTCCAACTTTATTTCGAATTGAATGACTTTTTATTTTGCACATCTAAGCTATTTAACAAAGCCGTAACTAGAAATGTGACTTTTCAATTGGAATTTAACATACCGTATACTGCACAAATTATTGCCTACTGTACAAGTCATCCTGATATGGTTTCTGTATTACAACCCAACTTACCGCATCATTTCTCTATTTGGTATCATTTATTCATCACAGCCTATTTACAGTATCATTTCGTTATTGCAATAAATTCGCAGCATTATTTCACTATTTATTCATGATATCACTTTTAATACACTATATTTCAACCATTATTGCCTTATTACGGTATATTTAAAGTATGTTAAAAGTTTCGTTACTACAGTACCGTATAATTTACGATGTCTAACTAAAGTATTCAGCCTATGATTTGCATTTTAACTTTGCATCATAGCAACATCGAACTGCATGCATGCACCATTCAGCACCTTCTTTTTAATCACTTTTGTCTTCTCTCTTCCCCATTTAATTTTAAATTTCATCATTTTGAAATATTTCATTTCAAATTTTAAGAGTCACGAACTTTATTTTAAATTTCATACATTCTGTCGGTCACTTTTGAAAGTTTGAAATAATAAAAATTGAATGAGCGAATAAAAGAAAAATAAACGAATTGTCAACCAAATGGACAGATGAATATAGTAATTCATTAATTACTCTTACTTATTGTAAATTACATGTAATGACATTCTTCTTAATGAATGAAATTTAACACTATTATTGATTGATATAAACGGTAAAGGAAAATAAAATAGTAAAAAAGGAAAAAGAAAGAAAAGAAAGGTCAGCCTAAGTCTGGAAGAAAAAAGAAAGTTTAATGAGAATTCATCGAAATATTACTGAAACGTAAACGGATGTTAGAAGTGAAACAATTCGGTCAGATATTACAGTTCATAAAATGTAATTGAAACGTGGAAGTTTAGCGTGAAACATTTCTTCCAGATATTACAGTTCATAAAATGTAATTGAAACGTGGAAGTTTAACGTGAAACATTTCTTCCAGATATTACAGTTCATAAAATGTAATTGAAACGTGGAAGTTTAACGTGAAACATTTCTTCCAGATATTACAGTTCATAAAATGTAATTGAAACGTGGAAGTTTATACAATTTATGAAAATTTTTGCTTTACAATTTATAAAGCATGAAAGTTTAAACGTTTTTTCCAGATATTATAATTTATTATAACTGAAACGTGAAAGTTTAACGTGTACATTATTTTACTTATCCTTTTTTTTCTTCATCGAAATTCTTTTTTTTTTTTAATTTAACGAGCAAGCTGTACACGTAGGACAAGACCAACATAACCAATAATAAAAACACATAAAATATAGAATATCATAACACCCATATTCATTTCCATATTATCTATTTTAAAATTTAAGTTATCGATTACCGATTTACCGCTACCTTCACAAATTGTTGCCTGCTGAAAATTTTCAATTCTTATATTTGCTTACAAATTATTTAATCTATGTTGCATAGATGATTTCTTACTATTTGTTAATTAATCATGGAATAAATTGAAATAGATCGTTGATGAAGGAAAATAAAAGAAAAGGAAAAGAAGAATTCAAAAATTCAATGTCAAAGGTCATTTTTAGCATAGATTTTAATTTTAATCATTGATTGTTTGTAGCTATCCACTGGCTAAATACTCTAACCTTAAATTTCCTTCCACTAAAAAAATATCTCATCTTCATGCATTCTTCAAATTTAATCCATCAATTGAAATTTCCTATCCCTTTTCATTTTCAAATACTAATTCCTCAATCGAATTACCTTTCATTACCTGTTAGAAATCTGAATAAAAAACATTTTAAATTAATATTTTACCTGCCCATTCGACAATAAACAACTAATATTGTCATGATGAGAAAATTCGTTTATTATCAATGATTCATAACCAAAACGAAACCTAAATACAGGAATAATTGAACTTAATTAGCTTTTGTTAAATAAAAAACAAATTACTTCATTAATTTTTTTTCCCGATGAAATCTTAATTGTTACGATAATTATGCTATTACAGTTCAGTATGTTTTATTACCCTTTTTGAATCTTAATTATTCAGTTTAATAGGTTTACAATGATAATAGTAAATTAAATCGGATCCAAATATGGAATTACTGTAAAAAGATTAAATGATTTGTTTTTATCAAATTTGTGTAAGAATTTAAATAATTTCAATTTAAACTTACCAACTGAAGTACTGTATCCATCGTATTGATTCATGAATGGTTTTTACATTACTGTAAAGACCACCGGTAATCGAAAGTACAGTTAATAATGGCCCTGTTATTGATAAAGCTATTGCGTATGATGGAGAAATCTGTAGAATTTAAGCAATGATAATTACTAATTAATAATATCAACAATAATGTTAATAATCACAACAATAATAACAATAATATCTTGAAATAACATTTTTATTCTTTTAAAATATTATTGAAATAATTTTGGTACAAAACATTTTAGGTATTATGAAAAAAAAAGCTCTTTGCTAATAAACATAAATTAGTATTAGCTCTTTGCTAATTAATATATATTAGTATTAGTAACAATCCTTAATTACTAATGTCATTATCATCGTTGAATGATGACAATGATATTAGTAATTAAGGATTATTTAATTTGAATGTATCAAAATTTTTTTTTTCTCAACAACTATTTCTTTTATAATATCACTTTGATTCCTTTTCAATTTCTTGTCATTTTATTAATACTAAATCTAATTTTAATTGAATTTCATGAAAGAATCTAAAAATGATTTTGTAAAATAATTTAGAGAAATATAAAGATAAAATAAAATTTCCATTCAATGATGTCTTTCAAATGATAACATTTACTTACCGATTCAATGATGACATTTAGTTACCAATTCAATGATGACACTTACCGATTCAATGATGACACTTACCGATTCAATGATGACACTTACCGAACTTAGCATAATACCAACACTAATAGCAGACCATTCAATTAGTATGCAAGTAAGCAAAGTGGTCAGAAATGTTGTAAATGTTGGATGAAGACCGATCAGATAGTAACTGATACATACCATACACATACCATCGATCGTAAAAATTGGCAAATATGACATTATCTATTAAATTCATCCATATACATCAAAATAAAATGAAATAGAAAGAGAGAAAGAGAGAGAGAGAGAGAGAGAAATTTGAAATATTTCTATTTAATATGAAATATTAAACGAATAATCAGTAGATATAGGATCAAATTTAACTTTTATCAGTCATGAGGTAGAATATTATCTCTGATAAATTCGCAAAATATATCTATTAAAATGATAACATTTAATCACAAAAATGATAACAGAAAATATCAGAATGATAATTAATATTTCAGAAATGTTAATTAGAACATATTCTGGATATAATAATAGAACAAAAATAAATACAATAATTAATGAACCATTGATAAATAATAGCATATAACAGGATATATGCCATCATGATATTCTCGTACCAATAATGGAAAATCAGATGGTAAAAATGTTTGTATACCGAATACGGTGGAATATGTTAGCTCGGAGATATAATAGAATAATGCTCCTCTAATATTTATAATACCGTCCTATAAAAGTATAATTTTAAATTGAATTTTTTCTTGATAAATTGAAGTAAAATTTTATATGTTTTTTCTTGTTGAAAATTAAATAATAAATTTTTTCCACTTTTTTTTTAGAAAAAAAGTAAAAATGAAAATGAATAAAGTTAGTTTTTTTTTAAAAAAAATATTTTTTTCTTGAAAAAAAAAACTAACTTGATTCATTTCAGTTTGTAAATATAATGTACCCAAAAATACACCCATGACAATTTTTTGAACAAGTTTTGCCCATAATAATCCCGGATTTCGTAAATTTTGTTTAATTGATCTAAAAAAAAGTTCACATTTCTTATCATTCTATAAATTTCTTTTTTTTTTTCATATATGCCTTTTCAGAACCATTTCTTACGAACTTTTTCATATGATCTGACTTTTGTACGAAATTTTTTCATGCGTAAAAAAAAGAGACCAAAGGAAAAAAAAACGGAAAAACGAAAAAACGGTAAAACGGATGGCTATATTATACATGATATGTAAAACGGATGGCTATATTATACATGATATGTAAAACGGATGGCTATATTATACATGATATGTAAAACGGATGGCTATATTATACATGATATGTAAAACGGATGGCTA